TCTAGCAGGTTGGTTTCAAACAAAAATTTCTAACTTTAATTTCTTTACCCTTTATATTTTCAAACCATAATTTCCCTGGTTTTTGAATAGACAATGTTAGGAAATGCTCAAATTTTTGTTTCCAAATTACAAATAAGGCCTTTGGAGAAATGTCTTCTCATCAGCTACATTCTGAAGACTCACTAGTCACATTCTCAAACTGTGCTAAAATTCTCAACATAAATATAGCATAAGCATCTACATATTCCATGTTAAAAATGTATGTGTCATGGTTCATCAACTTATTTTCATTCAGAAAGCCTTTGTACACCTGCTCTATGCACAGGAAAGGTAGCAATGAGTTTCCTGAAATTGGTAAGACAAAATTGGTTCCGTAAAAGTAACTAGGACAAGTAAAAAGGCACCTGTATAACAATTGAAATCCTGCTGAGAAACAGAGGAAGTGATGCTTGGCCGACTGTTTTTAAAGGACTGCCATGGCTCAGTGTAGACTGTCTATACTAGGTTACTAACCCAAATGGAAAGTCTATCCCAGAGGGTTTTGTGTGGCCAGAACAATGTTTCTAATACTTTCAATATGAATGCTTTCCAGTGAAGCACTGCTCTCCAGCTAGGGAGACGTGCTGTTTTCTTTTGTCACCCTTTACCTAACTCTGTCACATTTTCCTTCTTGGCCCCTTCTGTACATGTAAACCTAGAGACTACTGGGCTACAGTAGGAGGCAACAAGCCATGACCTATAAGCCAAATCTGGCTCCACACCTGTTTCTGTACCACCCCTGAAATATTCTGTATGGTTTGAAGGCTTATAATTTTTCAAAAGGATATGCCACAGAGACTTATGTGGCTCATTAAATAATTTAATATATTCACAGTTCTGATCTTAACAAAAAAAGTTTGCCCATCCCTAGTCTAGAATAACACTCCCATGTGTTTGCTGATGTACTCATATATAGACTTATTACACATGCACATCAAGTAACTTATATAGCCAGGAAAAAATGCGAAACACTTTTCAACGATCAACAAAGATTCCTGGTAGTTGTGTCTAACACTTTCCTCAGGTAAGGTTTTCTGATTCTATAAGTCCTGCAACTGTTGATATCATTAAGCTATTTTACACAAAAGCCTGTAATTTATACATAATCCATGGCCATATAATGGATTCTTGTCCAAAAACCTGTGGGACAACATTATCTGGTGATAGTGCAATTTACTTCCCCATCAACTATGGAAGAGCCAGTCTTGCATCCACTAAGCACATTCATTTCGGCATTATTGGGTGCCTAGCTATGTAACACTTAGATTCTCCTTTGAACTGGCTTTAATAACTTACTGGTTTCTTTATTAACTAATGGGTTAAATAATGTAGTTGACATGTGTTCATTTTATGTTCATATAAAGTTATGAGCTTACCATTTTTTAACCCTTTAAATATGTTAACTTATTTATGTTGTATAGATACGCCATTGTACTAATATATATTATAAAACATAAGATGAGGATTCAGAAACCGAGAGCTAAAAAAAGTGTTATTAGATTTTTTCCACAATACAGTGTGACATGTACACCCCACTTTCGATGCAACTATAAATTTTAATATACTTAAATGTTTTAGCTACCTTGATCTTGTGAAAGAAAACTAAGAAAAATTATGGACAAATAGCTTACATTATTGAATTCACATTTTCTGACTGTATTGAAGAAGTTTTTAAAAAAACTTTAAGTCATATCAGTTAATCCAATAAAGACAGGTGGATTTTTTATTGTTGGAAGGAAATGCACATTTAAATGATCAAGCATCGGTAACATAATTTACTACTGGCTTTGAAATCAGACTTTCAAATGTAGCTGCATTTCTCCTTCTTAAAGCATACTCTTGGATTTACTTATGTTTTTACAAAGCTAGTTCTTAAACATCTTTGCCATCATTTAAAATGCAGGCTTCATTCTGAGAAGAGCACTCAATACTGCCACTGAAGTTCTGTAGTCTGGTGTCATTTTGTCAATTACTCTGATGCTATGAGACCATGGAACAGTGTCACTATTTCCAAGAGCAACAGCTAATCAAAAGAAATACATGCAACGTTGTTCTAGAAAAATCTATTATGTTGGTTTATGCTTAAAAAGTAGTTACTACCAGAGTAGTAATTTTCCAATCTATCCATTAAAAGTTCCAATGTACTACTGCATTTTTTTAAGCTGTAAAAGAATGATGTACACATATCCTTAAACATAGCATATAAAAGCAACCACTAGATGGAGATTTAGATAAGATTACTTATGTCAAGAAAATTATTTATTTGAATTAATAGTGCAATTTAAGATTGAAAGGCATTTTCTTTACAAGTGCATTCCCTATACCACTGAAATAAAAAAATCAAATCTAAAACTATGCAAAAAGTCCTCCCTTTTTGAATTAATAGAGACTTAAAAAATTTTATTGAACAATAAGAATATTAAAACCCAACGTATTTTTTTAAAACTTATGTGGGGTTGTTGATGAGTAGCAGGTAGTTTTATGTCTGCCATAAACCTTTGGTAAATGTGATTTAAATGCAAATGTCACGTAGTAAGTGATCTTATATTTCTTTAGAGACTAATAATCATGCAGTGTTTGCATGAATGTCCAATTACATGCTAACACCGTCTTTCACTGCCTCACTCATGTATGGAACTTCTGTGCATATATAGAAATGGCACTCATACATTACACACACACACACACACGCACACACACACACACACACATATATGTTTATATGTATATAAGTACCATGGATGAATACCATGAATATATTATATATATTCATAGATATAATACATTACATATATTCATATATATTATATATATTCATAGACATAATATATATATTCATATATATAATATATATATAATTCATCCATGATACTTATATACATATAAACTAATTCTTACTGAAATAATGTTAAAACTGCAGTATGGTTTTGTGTTATGATAAAATCTACATTATTCCCTGAACTTTGACATGTTCTGTGCACAGCTCTTATTCATTTGACATTTGAGGACACCATAATCTTGACATTTTGAGCTCTGGAGAAATTCCTGTTGCACCAAGGATTCTGCCTTGCCACTGTTCCAAAATAAGTGATTATTTTAGGTCCAGTAGATAGTCTGAATTTGTAACAAAGAGGGTAAAAATCACCAACACCACCCTCACTATCTAAGTGATATATACTAAAAGAATCCTACAGTCTTCTAAGTGATCAGCATACCCACTGATTTGGCCAGACCTTCCAGAATCCTCCCAGTTTCCAAGTTCTGCTTAGTCATAGGCCAAAGAACCATACTGATGTCAAGGAGACCAGCTCAGGCCTCAGTGTGCCCTGATGACAGGTGATGCCAATGCCAGCTCCAAACAGGGCTCAATCAATCAACCCTAATTTTTCCTGAAAGACATACTTTATATTATGACATTTTGATATAACTAAAAAGGTGCCAAAATTAAATATAATCAACTGCTTCTTAATCTATGTCCCCTTCTACTTTATTCTTAGCAATCATTATAATGTTTTATTTATAAAAATTTATGTGTATGGCTCCCTGTATAGACTCTAATCTCATGCTGGGCAGGGATAATGATTCATTAATTTTTTCATTACCTGCATATAGAACAGTGACTGACACAGAGAATAATACGAATAAACGTTTGTCTTGTTTAAAGAAATCGAAACCCAAAAAAGTATTTTAAAAATCAAACCACATTACATAATTGAGATAATTCTGTGCTTTCTAGAGTAGACATCTCCAAAAAAGATGTCTACAGATTTATCAGTGTGCATATGTCAGAATCAAATCCATTATTATAGATAGTTTATGAATCAGTATATAGAAAATTATGATCACTGACTATAACATTTAACTTTAGAATTTGCATTGCCAGGTCATGAAACTCTAATACAATTTAATCTTGCATTTGCAATAAATCACTGCATTCATTAAAGAATAAGGAAACAATATGTAATTCAGTTTTTCTGGCCATTTAGCTTTTAGAGTTTATATGAGTATGAATGACTTATATATCTAAAAAGTATGAACTTATCAAATTCACCTTTTAAAACTGTTAAAGAAATTGAGTAAAAAATAGAATTGTGCATTAAGATGCTATATATATATATATATATATATAATTGAAAAAAACAGAAACAA